AAGGCTGATTTTCATCCTTTTCTGGTTTTTCAAAATTCAGAAAATGTCTGAATTACTTCAGGAACCTTTGTACAAGAAGCAACATTACCTATAACATCAGCAAGGTGTTTTTTGAATCGGCTAATATCCCCATTGGTATCTTTTTCACAAAAATTACATGTTATACAATTTTTATCATTTGGTTTCGGGTTGTACCCATACTTCCAACCCGGATCACTTCTTCTAGAAGTAGCAGAAATAGAAATAAATCTATGACAAGGATTTTGTTCTTGTTTTTGTTTTACATAACTTATAAATTGCTTAATCTTCTCTCTGATAGCTTCAGGAACATTTTTACAAGGGGCAACATCCCCCTTAATACCGACAAGATGTTTCTTAAACCGGTTTATGCCTCATTTTGTATCTTTTTTACAAAACTTGCATCAAACGCAATTTTTGTCATTTGGATTCAGGTTGTATCCATATTTCCAACCCGGATATCCACTCTGACTAACTCCTGAAGAAGACATCTCAAAATAAAACAAGCAATCTAAAAAATGTACTTACTTTGGTTGCTCAAACTCCAAACTTTGAGAAACACTTTGATGATTCGATCCAATGAAATGTAGTTTTTTGGAGGTTTTTTTCTCTTTAAAAGGGGTTATTGTGGGTTTAGGTTTCAAATGAACCTAAAACCCATCATTCTAAACTTTTATATCTTGAAAAAAACGAAAAAAAAAAAAAAAATAACCTTTCCACCTTTGGGCGGGGCACAGGCCTTGGGCGGCCGCCTAGACGGGTTTCGTACTGCCTACGCTGCCGCCCAGGGACCACCACCCAGTTTGGCCGCCTAGGCTTGGGCCATGCGCCCAGGCCTTCCGGACCGTCTAGGCGCCCGCCTAGCCGCTGGGCGGTCTGTTTTTTTTTAGCAATGAAGGGGCTTTTGTCTTTTTATTTATTTATTTATTTTTGATGGGATGGCACTAGGTAGGTGTCTAGGGCAAAAGGTGGGTGCCTCGAAAGGGCACCCGCCTAGGCCCCTTCAATTCAGTGGCCTTCCCACATCACCTCGGAACAAGCAGCTGAATTTTTTAACACTGAATGTGGAAGATTTGGGCCATAAACTGCTATCAATGTCCCATCAAAAAGCTGCCAAAGACTCTAAGAAGGTATTGATCTTGAGAAATGACCAGTGACGGAGTTCCCATAGGTTAGAGTAGGTGGGTTTCAAAGGATGTAGATGCTGCTAATGAATCTGGGGGCATAATCTGCACACCAGGCAATGTGTCTTTGACCCCCATGAAATCGGGCTTATGTCAAAATCGATGCGTCAGTTTTCAGTTTGTGAGAGTGAGAATATTTGCTCGAAATTTGAGGGAGTAATTTTAAGTGAGGCGCTTTTCTGTGGTTGCTGAGCCTTGAATATTCCAACCAAGGAACATCATATTTAGGGGTTTTGGGTTAGGTGATGGGCCAAGAAGTGGTAGTGAGAGACAATCGTCAAGGTTTATGATAATTAGTCACAATAAGCCCCCTGTTTGAGTAGGGTGTCATTTGATTGCATTTGCCTTGAAGACCTCAATAGTGTCCTCCTTTGGCGTCGTAGGTAGGGCCCATCATGTTAAGCATTGTGAATACCTAAAATTATATATTTTTTTTTGTATTTAAGTTCTTAAGGACTTATTTGTCTCTTCCTTATTTGAGGGCAATGTTGTACTTTAAAATTTTCTTATTATTCTGAAAAGGTTTAAGTGGAGTGTGTGGGTCGTAAAGAGACCATGGTGACTCCTCTCTGTAATTCTCTCCTTAACGTGATTCTTTGTCTCTCATCCTTCTATCTCTAAAAGTCTCTCTCTTCCTAGACCTTAATCTTCCTCACTCTTCTTCATCTCTTATCTACTAGATTGTTATTTTTTGATTGGTATCAGAGCAGGAGTCTTTGAGATGTGATATTTTCTGACTGTACAAGGGTCCTCATGAAGCGCATTGTCAAAAACCCTAAATCTGAAAAAGAGTTATAATGCACAAAACCCTGATTTCATGGTTTTGTTCTATTCTTATCGATTTTGTGATGGATTTGAAATCCTGGATCTGATTGGATTGTGTTGGTGTTTAAAAATTTGTTGTTGGACACCTTTAATATGTCACACCCCTGTTTTTGAGTTGTGAGACATTGAGACTCTTTACTATATCGAGATCCCTTGTGTGGATGTTCTTGGATCTCTGTGGGGAGCCGAGTCAAGTGGCTGGTTGTGTTATTCAGCATGATTCAAGTGGCTGGTTTTTGTTAATCATTGTGATTCTAGTGGTTGGTTTTTAATCAGCATGATTCAAGTGGTTGGTTGTATTAATTAGTGTCGAAGAAAATCGTATCTTTGAGTTCTTGGTTGGATTGAACCCCGAGTTTGAGTTAGCTAGGGTTCAAATACTCTGTCAGGATGATCTTCCATCTGTTAACAAGGTGTATTCCTTCACCCAAAGTGCGAAGGTAGAAAGAGTGTCATGCTGCCTACACAAGTGATGGATCGTTCTGCCCTTGTCTCAGCCTCAATACCTCCCAAGAACAAGAAAGGGGGTGGATTTTTGAAATTTGGAAAAGGGGTCCTAATCAATGAGATGAAAGTAAGCTGAAATGTGACCATTATGGTATAAATGGTCATAGCAAAGAAAATTATTGGGATTTAGTTGGTTGACTGGAAAAATTCAATCGTATTGGACAGGTTAATGCACAATGCTTTATCCACTGGTAGTTCAGCAATTATTAATATTAATACGACACTTCACGATGCAACTCGTCACTCACCTTTTGCCCCAAAGGAGATGATATCAGTTCCTAAAGAGGAAATTGAGAGCCTATACCATTTGTTCACTCAGCTATGGATGGACCATATGCTACTTCGTCATCTTTTACTCATTCAAGTATTTATTCTTCTGTTAATAATGTCTCTCTCTATGTCTTGGCAATTCTGGATCATTGATTTGGGAACTTTAGATCATATGACTGATATGGCTCCCTTGTTTTCTTCTCATTCCCCTTGTTATGTTTAAGACAAAGTTAGAATTGCTAAGGGATTCTTTTCTTTTGTTGCTGGAGATTCTTTTCTTTTGTTGCTGGAAAGGTGCTAAAATGTTCTCTTAATTATGTCTATCATTAGTTCTTCATGGCCTAGCTTTGCTACGAACATAATATCTGCTAATAGTATTACCAATAGTCTAAATTCTACTTTAACCTTCTCTCCTTCCCACTATGTTTTTCAGGGCCTAGATACTAGGAAGACAATTGGCGGTTGTCATTAGGCTGTTTCCACTCTGTTTTTCAGGACCTAGATACCTTATTTTGAACGTGATTCTCTCCATGGTAGATATAGTTGGTCATATGCTTCTTGATAGTAGATGTGCTAAAGGAAAGGAACTTGAGGTTTTTGGTAAATAATTATGTCGTTTATTTCTTTGTATATATGCCTGTGGTTAAACTAGTACATGACCTGGTCCCATTTGAACTCTGAGGTTAAGCAATCCGATTTCAACTTAAGCATGCTATTGAAGGAAAAGTACTAGAATGTGTGACCTCTTGAAAACCCTTGTACTGCACAACGTTTCTTTTTTTTATATACATGTTAGGACTCTTGTTAATGTCAATATCTGGTTAACATGATTCCTGAAGTTTGTGTGTGGAGGTCACTTTGTTTTGGCGATCGTGGGGCAGGGGGGAGCAAACTGGGTTTACAAGCAGTCAGATTATATTTTGCTTCGCAATTGTCCCCTCGCCCTTTGACCTTTTTCTTTGTACCATTCTTATGTAGGTGTGGTTCTTGTTGCCTTAACTCACTGTTGTATGTACTAGAACTTTGGGTGACACATTTTAGCAGTTGGTTAGTAGCATTAGCTTGTTGTAACCCACTGCCAATTCAATTTCTGTGTGCATATCGGTACTTATATAATGCTGGCTCCTATTTGACTGTATTTATTTTCATTTGGTTTGTACCTATCTGAAGATATTCTCAGCAAAGTTTTAAAAAGTTGAGTGGCTGTACCCATAATTCCACACAATGAATATAGGAAAATATTTCTATCGGTTACATTTGGCTATATTGTTTATGATCTCTAGTGTTGGTTAACTCTCAATTAGTTGGTGGAAAACTTTCCTTGTATGTAGCGTGAAATGATTAGAATACCAATTTGTGTCAAAATATAGTAAATAGATCAATGACAAGGAATGTATATCATAGTCCATAAGATCATGTAACAGTATCATCATAAGGTTTATCACTATCCTGCGTACAGAGTGCATGGTGATGGAGGGATAGTGGATCCCATCAAACATATACATAATTTACTTTTGTACCCCACTAGATAGCCGATGATGACCAATATGGCCAATCTGTTACCTTGCTCCTGTGGTTCCAATTGTACTTTCTTGGCCATAATTTATGGTCTTTTTTTTATAATTGATTTATGGTCTTGTGGAATTGGAAGTGTGCGCTCTCTCTCTCTCTCTGAGCACCCAATACAGAGCACCGCATATACAAAAGGAAAAGTATACATGAAAATCATTTGCTTTTAAGGAATGGGGTTGAGGTCAAGGTGGTAGCACCACTTGTAACACGGCTACTGGTCTTGGTTTCTATTCCTACCAATGCTTGACCCCTTTTGAAAACTCCTGATGGTTTCAAAAATTGCTAATCCACTACTAACAGTTAATGTTTAAAAAAAAAAAAACGTTTGCTTTTAATACAGGTCACACTTACTCATGCGCATCAGATTTCAAATCAAGTGTTTATGTGTCATTGACTGGACTCACAGTTCAATTAAAAAAAATATCTCGAACATTTTGCACACCCCAAGCCATCCAATTTGACATCTAATGGCTAGTAGCAAATGTGACCTCCTTGTAACAAAGATAAATGTACACTCCCTAAACAAAAAGGAATAGAAAAGCACATTTGTCTGCTAAAAACCTATAGAGAATATAAGCAGCTACTTGTCCCAAAAATAAACAACTACGAGCTACTCTTTGGCAGGCAGCTCTTTCTTTGCAAAACTCTGACAAGGGAAAGTCCACACTGGACTCTAATGCAGCAAAAGAGGAGATACCTTATTCTAATGAGCCAGGAAGTCGAATCAATGAGGTGGAATCTGCAGCTCACCACATGAATGCATTGTCCCTTTCTACAACCTCTGTTACAGTGGGTCCAACACCAGACCCAACTGAGACCCCTAATACAGGAGCCACTGGTCAAGATATTGATAAAAGAATCCGTTCTTTGAAAAAGAAGGTACGCATAAATGCGCTTTTGTTGTTGTGATCTTAAGGTTATTTTTTGTGCCTCCTCTGGATCTTAAGGTTATTTTAAATTGGGAATCTCCTGGCTTTAGTCCTTTCGAAGTTTGGCTTGTGAGACCTCTGTTTTTTCCTGTAATGGAAAGTGTAGTGTAGTCCATCACACTCCAGTATATGGCAATCCAGGCTTTATACACCTTCCTCTCCTGATGATAGATGGTTATATATTATTGTTGTCCAAGTGAATGCCTCTGTTGGCCACACTTCAGTTCATATCCAACCATCAACCACTGGGAGCAGGAGGTGGATGTGGCCTCGGAGTATTATATATGATCTACAGTGGGATTGTGCTATACTTTGTGGTCTTTGAATGGATCAGAATGCAGTTGTTCTTTCTGAAAATAAGCATTTACAGTCCATCTACTTTTTTCGAATGAACATATATTCTTGCTGCTCTGTATGTCAACTACTACAATCAACCCAATTTAATTAGCATGAAATATCTAAAAGAATGCCGTAATAACTAATTACATCTTTTCCTCACTTGAAGTTAGGGAAAGTCTTTCAGGTTTTTTTTTTTTTTTTTTCTTGTTGCTTGTTCTTTTGTCTTTTTTGTTTCTATATTTTTTTGAGTAGCAAGTTCATCCGTTCACCACTGGGTTCAGTGATATATCTCTTTGTATTCTGAGAATGACTGGTATAATATCTTATTTTACCTCAATGGTGATCTTCCTCTATAGTGGTTCACTCTTTTCTGTCCTCTACAGTACTTAGTGACTTTATTTTGCTTTGAACTATTTAGGCAGAGTATACCCCCACAGTATGTGTGATACCTCCCAATGATGGATGGTAGGGATCAATCATACCCAGGTTAATGTCTGTCATCAAGAGCCATGGTTAATCTCTCCATCCATCATCAAGGAGATTGCAAGAGTTGTTAATGGAATACTTTCATTTTATGTTACCATCTCTTCTGATACTCTTTTTTTGTTCTTATTATTGACCCCGTTTGCTGTTTTGATTTGGGGTGGCCCATGATTCACTGATAAATTATGTATTTTATGCAGATTCGACTCGCAGAGGGGCTTCCACAGGCTGGTGATGAGAAAGCCAATCTGAAACCAGAACAATTGGAGAAGCTCGCAAAAATTGAGGGATGGCGTGAGGAGCTTAAGGCTCTGGAGGGTAAGAAAGCCACATTGGTTTCATGAGATTTGTGGAATGACGGTTATAAATTGATCTATGGCATGTGCATCTTTATTTATGGTTGCTTTGTGATGGTTTTCATGCTGATTTATGGGTGGTCGAGGATCCAATCTGAACAGGATTGGAGTAAAGTTAGTGCCAAATTGGAACAAAAAGTCGTTCTGTTTCTTGTCTATTGATTCTCTCTCTCTCTCTCTCTCTCTCTCTCTCTCTCTCTCCCTATTCTGTTCTAGTTCAAGTGATTGCATGAAAGATGAGGAAAAAGTGTATCACACGATCTTCAAATTTTCAGTTCTCTCGTAAAGTAGGATTCTTAGCAAATGCTTTACCAGGACCGTGATCCCGTATTTTGTGACCTGTTTTTTGTTGGGAGAGTACTGTTGAATGACTATAGTAGAGGATATCAACACAGAGTGAAAGATTACAGGTGAGATTGATTTACAAACTAGGAAAGGGGTGAAGACCTGGGTGGTGGAGCTACAATGTAATGTCACGTTCTCTTTTTACCTAATATATATACTGTTGAAATGTCAATTTCTATCTTGAGTGATTTACGTACGGACATGGTTTGAAAGCTTTTATTATTTTTTGATGACATTTTTCTCATAAATTATAACGACCCTCTTTCTTCATGGATTTGTTTTTTTTTCTCCCAAAGTTGCTATCTGTCCGGCAATAACAATGTTGGGCATATACTGGATTTGGTTAGTTTGACCATATCCTTCCACCACTTTTATAGGATGGCTAATTCTTTAGCTGATGAGCTTGTCAAAAAAGGAGTTACCACGATTCCATTGTATCTGCAGTTGATGTAAATCTTTTGTAATTCCTCTTTTGCAGTACTTTGATAACTTTTGTAAAAAAAAAAAAAACAACGTTGGTCAGGAGGGCTAGTTTTTTTCGCAAAGTGGTGGCTACTATTTGGTTTTCGCATTACTTGACAACTCTTTGGAATGATAGAAACCCCATCAAAAAAGGTAAATAAATCGAAAATGATGTGGTTGTTATTAACTCCCGATAGATGGCCAAATGTCTGTGGTTGTGGAGCTTCAAATGGCTGTTCTGTGGAGAGAGGATTTTGGGTACATAGAGAGAGAGGACAAAGAGATCGAGAGAGAAGAAATAGTAGGAAAAGGGCCTGATGAAGTTTTGGGGCGTGCCATATAGCTGTTCAGTAATACAAATACCAGACAACTTAAACTACACTAGTGTGTAGTATCAATACTATTAGACATGAAAATAACAAAGATGAGTGTTATCTGGTATTCGTAATACCAGATAGGGTTGATACGATGTGGAAAAAACATGCCCTCATATCTGGTATTGTTATTGTCGGACAGGAAGGCAATTTATACAAAAAAAACAAACAAAAGCTATTGGGGGTGGTTTTTGTAATTTATGTGAAAAAATGTTACCAAATAGTAATAAAGCCTTTCAAACTATGTCGATGCATAAATTGTTCTTCTATTTTTACTTACGATATATACCATCAATGTTCAAGATTGGTGTAGTTGATTTTAAATATTTGGGAAAAGGCTATAGTGATGATGATGATATATGTGCCATCAATGTGCTTAAAAACAAAATAAAGAAAAAAAAATATAAGGGTTAAAGTTCTATATAACAATAAGATGCTTAAGGTATGCAGAGTTTCTTTGTAAGCTTCTGCAAGTAGTTCGAGGCTTGAGTATTGAGGATGCAACCTTATTTAGGGGCGAGTATTTTAGTCTTCTACTCGGAATGATTTTCAAAGTTAGCGAAAACATATTGTTAGGATTTATGCATTAACTTGATTGGTTAAGGCGTCGAGAATTGCAGCACTATTAAGTTGAGGATCTTACCACCACCCTGACATGCAGTCTTGTCTTTTATCAGCCGACCCTGACATGCAGTCTTCTCTTATTAGCCGACCCAAATGGTTGGGAAAAGGTTTGGATGATAATAATGATGATGCGGTCTAATCGGGTTGATAGTAAGGGGACAAGTTTGACAATACCATTGCTATTTTTTTTGTTATTTATCATTGCTTGCTACATTACAGAGCAATCAGTCGAGAGCACCTGAATTAAAAGTTCATGATTATAGAGAGTTTGGCATCAATATTACCCACGGGCTGATAGTTTGTTTTTTTTGTATGGTTTATGGGGTATGATGTGCCAGATGTCAGATCGAATCTAGGGCGGTTCGATATTAAAATGTCGGACTGCCCCTATGAGTAAAATGATCCGGTTCCTCCAAATTGTATTATCCGAGATCTCTAACACCAAATCCGGCCATACTTAAGATCTTCATTTGGCTTGCTGCTCAGACTAAGATTTTAACACTTGAAAATCTGATTAAATTTCTACCTAATGTGTGCTTAATGTATAAATTAGATGCTGAATCTGGCGACCATATGTTCCTGCATTGCCACTTTGCCAACAGAATTTGGGGTTGGCTATTTCGCTCCTGGGAATTAGCATACCATTACCAGGGTTGGTGATGGGGATTATCATGCAGCTTTCTGTTACGGATCTGCTAAAGACGGGTATTGCTCTATGAAAGATTATTAGAGGTATGATTATGTGGGATATTTGGAAGGAAAAGAACCATAGAACTTTTGAATGAGATAGCCTGCCCTTAGATATATTACTTAATAAACTTAAGCACCAGGTTTGGTGCTGGTTGTCGGTATCTAAGGAATGATGGGTATTTCTGAGATCGATGCGATGATAAACCTTACAAATATTTTGACATTGGGTGCCCCCAAAAATAGATTCTGAATTATTGGTTAATGCTTTCTCAAGGAGTTCTAAAGCTGAATTTCGATGGGAGCTTTCAAGGTAACCCAAGTGTGGCCGGATTGGGAGGGGTAGTTTGGGATTGGAATGGCAGCATTGTCTTTTCTTTTGCATGACCTATTGGTATTGCTATTTCAAATAAAACTGAAATGTCTGCAACCCGTCCCATTTGGATAATCCGTTTTGCAATAATAAATTTTAACATTCGTCGAAAAAAAATATCCACATCCGTTGGTTCCTTTAATTAGGTAGCACCTCATGCTACCAATTAACGCATTAAAGGAGCATCACACCGACCATCGTGGATTCTTTTTAGGAAAATTGTTTCATTCGTCCTAGACTGCATTTTTTTATATGCGGTTAGGAAAGTGTAAAGCATTCATCTTGAATATGGATGAAAATAGGTGCTCCATCTAAAAACAATGGAAATTAATGGTCCAAATGTTTTTTTACTAGAATTATTATTTTTAATTTTTAAAATTTATTTATTTTTTCATATTCATGATCTCCATGTTAGAGATTACATGTCCATAAAAATTAAGTCTTAAAATCTATCTTGAAAATAGATTTATTAAGAGGCCTGCATTTCTACATACACAGGCTTGGCCATATAGAAACCGGGTTTGATATTGGGTGGCACATCATGCTACGGACCAATGCATATGTAGCCATCAAGCTTATAAATCAAAGGACAAAATGGGAGGTCTGATATTAGAGATATCGAACTGGTATACTTAAAAAAAAAAAATGTGAAGTATAAATGTTTATGCTCAAATCTATGAAGCTAATTCAAAATCTACCTTCTCTAATTTAGGTAAGAACTAAATAACATTTTTAAAATTTAAAGGATTAGGGTCAAGCCAAATTACATTTTATAGACTTTCAAATCACTCCCTCGGTGGATTATTGAGTAAAGGTTTAAAACTGAAATGAGTTTATATTTGTGGGAAAGGTTTCTATACTTCCCCCACAACATAGAAGATCTATGCTTCCCCTACCATCTAGCTGTCCAACTTTGATCAAGTGAGCCACTCACAATGTGATCTTATATCCAATGCCTCAGAGCATTTTATTTTTAATTTTTAATAAAAATTGTATGAATATAAGATTTGGTATGTGCCATCTTGTCATATGTTTTTTATATTTTTTACAAGTGTGAGTTTAAAAGATGATATGATTTCCAAAGTTTGGTGTCAAAATATTTTATATAAAAAATGTTAAAAATAAAATGGTGTAAAGACGTGACCTTGTGATTGGGGCAATTTTAACCCTCCATTTAGAATGGACGGTTGGATATGGGGAAGCATATAAGTTTTATATTGTAGGGGAACCATAAAAAATGTATATATATATATATATATATATATATATATATATATGCTATTACTAGTATATTCATCATTCTTTAAGTTTCTTAAAGGGTATATTTAAAGAAAATTTAGATTTTAATCATTAAGACTAATTTTATTTTGCATCACTTTTACATGGAAATTATTCTACAATAAATTTTTAGATGTAAATTTCATATAAAAGGTCAACTTTTAAATTATTTAAGGCAACTAAAATAATTATAATTTATTATCAAAATTTAGAATACAAAATTAAAGAAATAATTAATAAACTGGAGTGATTGAGTAAAGGTTCTGAAATGAGGTTAAAATTAAAAATATAAATATAAATATAAATTTATCGTTGAGCTAATTTAGTGGACTATTGTGTATGCTTGATGATTAAAAATACAGTAGATTTCGAGTTATAAAGGGAATAACATATGGTCATTCATGTTTTCAAATATCTGTTTGGTACTTTAGGCGGTCAAATTAATAATATCAATAGAGTACTAAGCTTTCAATATTAGTTAGTCATTTGTAATTAAAATATCATCTTACAAATCTATAGAATTATAAAATATTATTATTATTTTTGTAATTATTTTTTATTTATAGTATAATAATAACCACAAGTATTTTTTAACAAAAAAATGGCATTGTTGTTATTTCAAATTAAACTTTTATATAAGGGAAAAATTTATATAAGGTTTTTGAGTCCCATAAATAGTGCATCTTGCAACAGATCATCTAGACCGTCTATTTTCAAGATTTTTATATGTCTATAGATCTACTTGATTTTAACCATTTTTGGAATTTAAAATTTTCTAATTATATATGAAAATAGATTTTCAGAGAATTTTAAGAAATTTTTATAACAAAATTACATATTATGACAAAATTTAGAGGTGTGCCTTGATTGGATTGTTTAAGGTCGCAACTTTATAGAAACCGCACCCATGCTTAAATGGTTTACTGGTTAGCTGTAACAAATAAGTATTTTACAAAATGGTGGTGGATTTCATTCCTAAGAAACTCTCTTCTGGTCGATCTTCTTCAATGAACTAGAAGGCATCGACACTGTTAGGAATGTATTTCTGGTTGATTGCAAAATGAAGGTGGGCAATGGAGTTAGGACGAAGTTTTGGTTGGGTAATTCCTCTCTTATGCAGTGTTCCAGAATGTGGCAGTTTCTCATTCTGATTTGGTGGTAAGGGCAGGGATCCAACTACACTTGGAAGATTGATATTAGGGTGAGAAGAATTGACACAGCCATTGAACAACAATTCCTCTCCCCATTGCAACAACTCTATTCCTTCATCTACTTCCCTGGTTCGGGGAACAACTCTATTCCTTCATCTACTTCCCCGGTTCGGGGAATTCACTCCTTGCGGCTCCTCCTCTGTTACGTCCCCTTTATCATGAGATTA